CAGCAGGAAATGTCTTTGATTGAGGACTGCAGGATTTGTCCATCAGCATATAACATGCTTGTCTAAGACCCCATAAATCCAATAAAAAAATTCTTCTTGAGCTGTGATACCTGTCCTCTCTGTCAGCAGCAATTTTTCATCAGCTAGAAACTCTGATAAATACAAGTATTTAATATACAAATAAATCCAAATGCAAGTTTGAATTTTAAAAAGAAATCCTCAGCTCTTGTCAGTCATCACAACCCCATTGACTTCAAAGCTATCATTGACTCTGTGGAGCAATGCCAATGAACTCTAGCTCTGGATTTGCCATGTATAGGGTCTGTAATTTTATTCAAGTGTTCCAATAATCTCATAAAACATAAGAATAACCCTCAAAGTGGATCATATTGTCAAAATAGAATTAGCACAGAGAGCTTTAAAATGTGTTTCGTTTGTTATATAGAATATATGGCAAAATTCTAGTAAGAAAATTAATAAGGACAAAAGAAGAAGTGAAAAACTGCCTAAGTGTTGGTCTGGTGCTGTCAATAGACTGTTCACTTCCGATTGTGAGTCTGTTACTTATTATCCCATTTCTCTTTGATTATAATCAGTTTCTGCTCCTGTCAGGTTTTTAAAAATGTATGTACATGGTAGTGCGCCTTTGAAATTAAGGAGAATGTGATGTCATGCTATGAATTAAAAGATTTTATTTTTATTACCAATATTCTAAGCCAATACACTATGCCAACACAGGAAATTTTAGTTCAGTGTTACAATGGAGCCATGAGAGTTCACTTTACATTTCAGTTGAACCCTGGCAAAAAGTATCAAATAATTGCATTATATTAATGGATTCCAGTTTTATAATGTTACTAGTTTACTTTGTGATTAAATCAAATACATTTAAAATGACTTTGCTGGTGCGCACAGAATTTTGAGTTTTAATTCCTCAGATTACTTTTAAAAACTTAAATGTTTCTCTGTGTTTTAGGATGGTAACATTTGAGAAGATATTTTTAGTTCTTTGTCATTCTCATTCCTTTATATAAATATCTTTAAAGCAGAGAAAGAGAAATGTTTCCTTAAAACCCCCTCCATTTTTCTTTCTGAAGGCTTTCAGGTACAGGTTCTGAGTATTTTGAGTTCTGATGATTTCAGAGAAGCTAAAAAAATGAGTATAAAGGCAAGCTATAATTCCTTCAGTTTGCTCTTCTGAGACTTCCTTCTATTAGCATATGGTAGTGAAACAGAGCCAAATAACTTCCCCTCACTCAGTTTATTAAATTATCTGTCTAGTGCACAGGGCAAAGTTTTAAAGCACAGTACTGCTGGATTTGTCATTTGTGATGTTTCTGTTAGCAAGTTTCTGTAACCTCCCTCTTTGGATGGTTATCAAGGAAACTTTTGTTGTCATTGGCTCTTAGCTGTACACTTCAATGAAAGTCATAAACAGCTTCCTGTCCAAGGCTTGGTGTGACCCTGTTCTTGCATAAATGTGATCTGTACTTCACCTTGTATGGTATGGCCAGTTAGTTTGTTAGTGGCATGACTTCCATTTTTGGTCTGTACTGAATTTAAAAAATAAAAGTGATGCAATAGTTTCTTCCGTTTTAAATTTCTATTTTTTTTGAAGACCAGTAGCTAAATACCTTCTCTTATACTACAGGGAAAAAGTGGTGACATGGTGTCTAAGTAACTTTTTTTTTCGCAGAGTGCTGAAAGTCATCTTAAAAAATTGGAGGGTGATTAATATAGGTAGATAAAAATAGGAGTAACATAACATAAACTGAATTAATTGAATCTATTAAGGTAAATGAGTATCATTAGAGAGAAAGCATAGTGGAGTTGGGAGGATTCTTACATGGAACTCTGGAAACCTCGGCTCATTACTTCCCAACTCCACCATAGGTGCCCTGGGTGACCTTTAACAAGTCAATTATGTCCAGGTCCATTGATTTCAATGAAAGGTAAGCACCTAAATAGGAGGATCTGAGGCTCAGTCTGTGTTCTAGTTTCCTATTCGTAAAGTAAGAATAGCAGTAATTCCCTATCTCTCAGAGGTATAGTGTAGATAAAGGCATTAAAGATTGTGAAGCACTTGGATACTATGATAAATTAACGTAGACCATAAGTATCTGAGGTAAGTAGATTGACAGATGTAGGAGACGTGCCATTGACAGAAAGGAGCAGAACAGTTCAGTATCCATTAGCTTTGTATATATTTGTTGTACAGCTGATTTTTGTGCTCTCTGTCCCTTTATATGCATATATGTATTACTGTGCAAGGTGTTTTTAATATCCTGGAGCTTTACAAAGCAGTTATTTTGCTACCTATTTGTATAGGCAAATATGCTCAGGAACATTTCCTGCTGCACCTTACACCATAGAACCATCTTTATTTTTCTAATATGAAAACTCTTTTAAAGCTCATTTGTAGGGTAGTAAATGAGCAGCACTAAGAATAAACAGGTGAGCCAGGAAAAATAAGCTGCTGTTAGAATATGCTAACCGCTAATTATAGCTTCTAGTTGAAGTTGCAACTAAAAATTTTTAGGACTTTTCTCTACTTTTTGAAAAGAAGAGTATTATAATGTCTGTTTATTCTTTTTTAAACCAGGTGAATGGAGTGAGGCTCTTTATCCCTTGCTGACAACACTCACAGACTGTGTAGCCATGATGAGTGACAAGGCAAAGAAAGCCATGGTCTTTTTGTTAATGCAAGATAGTGCTCCTACAATAGGTCTGTGCCTGAGTCTTCAGTATCGCAGGGATGTTGTCTTCTGCCAAACTGTAAGCAAGAAAGTTGTGTGATCTGATTACAGTTGGACTTGTGATCGATTTCAAAAGAGTGTGGGGAGTTAACCTGGTTGGACTGATTATGAAACTTTTTAAGTATCATTATGACAGTGTACAAATTAAATACAACAGCTGATGTCTAGTGCTTTTCTTTTACAGCCATCGTGCAGGGACTTCAAACTGAGTGGTACGAGGCTAGTCTGTGGGCCAGATTGGCCCATATATAGTCTCACACACCAAATCCAGTATGCAGGGCTGGTCCAACACAGACACTGCATGCAGCATATGTCCCAGACCAGCCATGTGCAGCATGCGCTGTGTGCAGCATATGCTAGCCTCAAGCTGTTTGCAGTGCATGCTAGCATGTCACATGCAGCACGTGGGTCCAGTTTGAGACCTACAGGCATCACTGCAGGCCAGATGATATGGCTGCATAGGCCAAATTAGGCTCATGTGCCATTTCTTTGACACCCCTGCCATAGGGATAAAATGCAACACTTGGGTTCAAAGCAGTAAAATGAAGTCTGACACATTTCTGCTATGTATATATATTCATAGTTTTAAAAAATTATGACAAAGTAGGCAAAATAATGGCTGTGTGATGAAACAAACAGGTCTGTGGAAGAAGAAAAATAATTGACATTTTGGAATTTTGCCCAGAAATATATTGGAAAACACTACAGACTCTGGGGCACTGGAGTTATATGCTTCTGATGACCTATCCCTGTCAGAAGCTTGCTGCTAGTAGCAAGCATGAAATAGTACCTTATAGCAACAGTTTAAGATACCAGAGCATGAAAGGAAAAATGTGGGGAAAAAGGGAAACAACAAAGCATAATGGTAATTCCATGGAGAAAAATCAAGCTCCCAGTTCCAGATGTTGGGATTTCTTTTAATGTGCTATCAATGGACCTGTTGGGGGCTCAGTCTTTCATGTCAGATTCCAACTACTAGAAGTCTGATAAACTCAAAAGTGTTCCATATCTCCATCTTCCAAGGATGCTCTTTTCAAATTGAATAGAGGTTTGCATTCTCTTCTCCCACTTCTGAAAATCCTGACTATTGTGTCTCCACTACTCTGCTTCCCCCTTGACATTCCTCCTCAAGTTCCCATTTTCCAGCACCACTTCTTGCTCTGAATAGCTTCACTGCCTGTCTCTTCCAGTTTTCTCAGAAGGCAGGAGAGTGGAAGTGACATCATTCTTGTCAGCTGTTTTGCTGCCCACCAGGCTTTGAATAGTAGAAATGAAAACTTGGCAGTACTGAGTTTTCTCTCTGATGCAGCTTGGCAATGGTTTGAGCAACTGCAACACGGGTACTAGACGTGATCTGCTGACTCAGGAGGACATTGCCAGACTGGTTCAGGATCAGAAGGATGGGTCTTGGTGCAGATTAGCTACAATTAAGATCCATCATCTTTTATTTTGGAATGAAACCTTACTTTCTATAAAAATTGATATTGAAGGACATCTGGTTTGCCAAGGAAAGGCTAACAACTTGCCCTTGGTTGATAGTAGCCCCAAGACCTGGCATAGCTCAATGCCTACTGTAGTCTTTGCTTAAGCCCATCAGTGCTAGTTGATCTCAGTTTGACTGGAAGCTCGTTTTGTTAACTTGCTACTCACTGGAGAATAATATGCCCCCAAATTCTCCTTACAGTGATTTCTTCTGATTTTAAATCTTTGTGTTCTAGTTCTCTTTTGTCCACAAATCAATGAATTATTTGTTAAGATACCCACAATCTGGTTTAAATATTTCAAACAGCTCACCCCTTCCTTAGTCATCTTCTATCAGGGCAAAATGATTACCTAAAGTATTTCTTTTATGTTTGTAGTGACAAATTTAGATAATATTTTGTTCAAAATCAATATTTTGAGTATTTTTATATCTCATAACTGCTCTTCACAAGAGCTGTTATCATCTCATCACAAACTGAACTTCACTTTCTTCTGTTTAATTTTGCAGTCCAGCCATAACTGTTCATTTTAAAGTCAGTCACCTTGGAAATGACTGTTTTCAGAAGTTAAGTTTTCACTGCTATATTAGGGTCTGATACTGAGAAATGCTGAGTATCAGCTGCTTCTACTACATTATGTTCTTTAAACTTTTTAAAATGTCAATTTTAAGTGTGTGTGGGTTTTTATTAATATTAAAATCTAAATTCAGGACTTAAATCTCTGTGGATTCCTCTTACATCTGTAAATAAAACTCCCTTCCAAGCAAAGCATTTTATGTTTGATAAACCTTAGATGGTATAAACAACTGACCAGGTCAAGAAAAGTAATAAACCTGAAATCAGTAGGAGTCCCATCTAGAGAGACCTTTCAGGAAAATCCTTGTGTTGCCTTAAATTGGAGAAAATATTTCCTAATTTTTTGGTAATATTTCACTTCAGCTGCAAGGAAGAAGTGTCATTAAAGACTATTAGTCTAACAGATTGTATAACATCTCCTTAGGTACTCTGTTGCTTCCTCTCTTTTTTTAATTGTCACATTGTCTTGACTTATTTTACTCCTTTCTTTCTTGTTTCTCTAGCTGACAGCTCTTATTTGTGGTTTTATTATCAAACTGAGGAACTGCCTGCATGATGATGGATTTCTGAGACAGCTCTATACCATCGGTCTTCTGGCACAGTTTGAGAGCCTTTTGAGCACATATGGTAAAGGCAAACACATTGGGCTTGTGGGTGATGTTATTTATGAACTGTCATATTTAGCTTAATGGGTTGCAAGCGCAAGATGAATGAATAGAATTTGGAGTCATTTGCAGTTCAGTAGAGAGAGAAATTGTAGAATTGATGCAAAAAAAAATTTATGTATTTAATCGGCTCATAAAACAGTAGCTTTTCTTTTCTTCTGTTTAGTAGACTTACTTCCCGTACTAAAAAGCCATAGTTACTTTATCATACCTGTTATTTTCTGAAGCAAAATATAATAAAATTACAAACAAGCTAGAAAGTACTGCCTGAAAGAAATACAATTTAAATTACCTTGAGGTTACTTAACTACATAATAGAAAGAAAGGCTGAAGAGATTGTGTTACAAGTAAACTGATTTCATTCAAGTTTCAGCACAACCATCTGAATGTCTGTAGTTGAGTGACCCTCTAATTAATCTGGTATTCATTCCTGCCATACAGTATAACATATAACCAATCTTTTTTGAATGTATGAAGAAGTAGTTTATTAAATTACTTGACATGACAGGCCTCTAAAAAAATTATTAATGTTATCATCACTGGAAAAAGAACACAAAATATACCTGAAGATTATAGGCCTGTGTGCATTAAATAGTGGGTGCTCTTACTAAAACTCATAAAGCCAAGAGAGACCCTGCTCCTTCCATCAGATCCGTATTGTCTGATTTTTGCACCTGTGGAGGAGGCCTGTTGATATCAAGGGGATTTAACATGGATGCAAGGGTCTGCTCATGTGAGACTTGGATAAAAGATCAGGCTCCCTAATTATCTCTACGCAATTTCTTTATGAGAGCAGTGAACTTTAGTCAGATCATGTATGTGTCTGAGAATGGATGAGGAAAAAATGTATGTACACAAAAAAATTACTGCAATTCACTTTTCTCCTTGATTTAGGTGAAGAGCTGGCAATGCTAGAGGACATGAGTTTGGGAATAATGGACTTGAGAAATGTTACCTTTAAAGTAACTCAAGCCACATCAAATGCATCTTCTGACATGCTGCCAGTCATTACAGGAAATCGGTAAGAACAGGATGGGTGAAGCCTTAAAGTAGGGGAGATGAAGATACTGTATTTAATCTCAAAAGGGACATGGTTGCTCTCTGGATATGTATTTCTTTATCTCAATACTAAAAGATGTTTTGAAGCTGCTTTATTGAGTATTTACTGTTGCTTTACATAACAAAAAGCCTGAAAGATGACAAAATTATTCTCTCATGTTATTATTAAGTTGTTTTGGCTATCTATAATCATAGGGGTTTCAGGCATTTTAGACTCTGTTTAGGAGGATCGAAAAATCTATTAGAATTAACAAAAGCAGTATACACTAGAGTGGAAGTGATACAACTTTTAAGCCCCTCACCTTGCCTGCTAACCAGTCATTAAACAGTTGAGTTCTCCTGCTGTTACACAGCACAAGCAGGTCCTTGCATCTCTGCAAAGCTCCACTGACAACTGATCTTCCTACAGGGTGCCATTAGCTCCCTACATAGGGATGCAACTGTGAAGGGCAGGATCCTATCGGAACTGAATGAGCTTCTTCATGTTTTAGTAATCATTTTAACTAATATATATCAATCAATAAGAGAAAAAAATATACATAAATTGTTTTAATTTAAACCAGTGCAATAATGCAAGGCGTTGAAGTCATTAAATTTAGAGAAAAATGTCATGAATCATTTTTTTTTAATGTCATTTTTGTTTACTCAATTTTATGTTGAGGGGAGATCATTCTCTGAGTAACTGATTTACTAAAATCAGTAAATTTGGTCCCAACCGCTCTGTATCTTTCCCTCCACTCCCTGTAAGGGGGAGGCAATTTGACTTTTATTGAACTTTTGTAAACTCCTTTGTACTGTGCTGGAGATCTTCTTAAAGTATTATTGGGAGCAGGAAAATGGCTTAAAAATGCCATATTCATTCTGTCTTGGATCTTGCAACCAAGTATCCTCAGTTTACATAAGGTGATTTCCCCACCCCTTTACCCTAGCTGCAAATACCTGCTCTGAGAATTGCGGGTTAAATCTGGTTCTTTCTTGTATATCATCATCATTAACAGACGCTTTGAATTCAAGCTTACCAAATGCTGGATGACATTTTTCCCCCAGAGGTGTGTTAGTGCTACAGTGCTTATTGCAATAAAAACTGATTTTATTTTTTTTTTTTACAGCATATAAACTGATGCAATTGAAATGTACCCAGGGACCTGAGTTGAGTGCTTCAGGGTTGTTTTTTTTACTTGCTTGCTCTTCTGACTTGTGCCAAGTTCAAAGACACTTAATGTCATAGAATCATAGACACGTAGGGCTGGAAGGGACCTACAAAGTTCATTTAGTCCAGACCCCTCTGCCTGAGGCAGGATTATCCCTATCCAAGTCATCCCATACAAACCATGATCTAAATTCTACATAAAACTACCATCAACCCCTGACACAACACAGACCTAACATGCTACAAGTAAAACAGGATAACCACGACAGCCAATGTCCTGCTTCTAGGAAATGTTGCCAACATATGCGTAAGAGAACCAGCTAGAGGGCCACCTCCCCCCCCCCCCCCAAAAAAGGCAAAAACCCCCCCCCCCCCCCAAAGGAAGGCAAAAACCCCCACAGTCCATACAGAAATGACCTGGGGTAAATTCAGGTAATTCTGTCCTGACCTCAAATATGGTGATCAGTTTGCCCCTGAGCAGAAGTGCAAGACCTCTAGCCAGGAACCTTTAGCTTTGTTTCCAAGAGGAGCATTGGTACACCTCAGTCAGGGTCCCCAACCTTGGTTGTAACCAACACCCAATGCCTCTGGGAATGCCCTGACACATGTAGCAGAAAAAGGGGTGGGGCAACCAGCAAAGCCCAGAAGCCTGAGAGATACCCATGGTAAAACATAAGCATAGCTATGCTTAGATCATCTCAACATTAGGAAAAACTACTTCACAACTAGGGTGTCCAGACTGGAATAAGCTCCCTCCAGAGGTGGTGCGATCACCTACCCGGGAAATCTTCAAGAGGAGACTGGATGGTCACCTTGCTGGGGTCTCCTGGCCCCAGTTGTCTTTCCGGCCTAGTGCAGGGGGCTGGACCTGATGTTCTTCCGAGGTCCCTTCCGGCCTTACAATCTATGAATCCCTGACCAGTGGTTGTCCACCCTCTTGAACACCTCCAGTAATGTAGAGTCCACAACTTCTTTAGGCAGTCTATTCCACTTTAGTTTTAAGTGTTGCCTTACCAATACATTTCACATATTATCCCTAGTTAAAAGAAATAATGCATTTTGTTAAAAAAAAAAAAGAAGAAGAAGAATGCTTACCGATCTGTATGCTTCAGTTCTAATATTTTCTGGTATTTTTTGTTGGTTTGTAGTGATGGCTTTAATGTGAGGATTCCACTGCCAAGCGCCTTGTTTGATATGTTGCCCCGAGAGATTCAGAGTGGCATGTTACTGAGAGTTCAGCCTGTTCTCTTCAACGTGGGAATCAATGAACAACAAACCCTGGCAGAGAAGTATGTATCAAGGTACCCCAACTTGGCTTAGCTGCATTTAGATAATTTCTTATCCTGCTGTGCAATTGTGTTGTGGTTTTTTGTCACAGAAGAAAAAAATGGAGAAGCATCACTCTAGCAAAATAGAGAAAGGGCATAATATTAAAGATAGTTTTAAGAGACAACAGACAAGTTCATAAAGTGAAGCCTTTCCCTGTTGTGAGTTTCATCATATAAGAAACTTTGTATGTGCATATTGAGCCCCTTAAGACAAGCATATGGGCTTACAGCAGTTTATGGAAATACTGAAACTTAGTTTATCCATATAATCATGGCTTATGGGAGTTAGTGACCTTATTAAGAGAGATTCTCTGAAAATTGATCTGTGGCTACATAAAAAGTTGTTGTGGT